ACATGGGCTGCCAGTTGGCACGTTATCTGTGAGTATCTCACAGCTGCGTGCCTTCGACAGCCAGGGTGGATCATAATTCAAGCAATAACTGTTACTGTAGAAAAATCAGAAAATACAGTCAAAACAAATTTCACATAATCCTACTATCTAAAGATAATCTTGCTTTCGTACCTTGTGTTTCTTTGACTACTGATACATTTGAACATTTTGCCATGTTTATTGGCTGTTGAGATTTCCTTAGTGAAGCCAGATGTGGTGGGCACGCCTGTAATCCCAGTGGCTCAGGAAGCTGAGGCAGGAGGATCACAAGTTCAAGACCAGCCTCAGAAATTTAGTGAGGCCCTAAGCAATTTAGTAAGACTTTGTCTCTAATGAAGATAAAAAGGAATGGGGATATGGCTCAGCAGTTATGTGCCCCTGAAACAAAAAGAAGAAAAAGGGAAAAAAGTGTTTTTTCTTGGTGAATAGGTTGTTTCTGTCCTTTGCATATAGTTTTTGGGCATCCAATGGGGCCATCAATTTGTTTGGGATCTTGTATAGCATACATATGAATCTTTATACTACCTATAGTTTTTTGTGTTTTTTTTTTTTTCTCGATTTGTGATTTGTTCTTAAAACTTTGAGAGTGTTTGTTTGTTTGTTTGTTTTGGTACCAGGGATTGAACCCAGGGGCACTCAACCACTGAGCCACATCCCCAGCCTTTTTTTTTTTTTTATTTTGAAACAGGGTCTTGCTAAATTGCTTAGGGCCTCTCTAAATTGCTGAGGCTGACTTTGAACTTGCAATCCTCCTGCCTCAGCCTCCAGAGTCACTGGGATTACAGCCACCATGTCTGGCTTTTAGTGTTTTTAATCTTGTTTTTCTCTTTTGGAGTTCTCTACTGGCTTTTGTGTTTAGAGTGTAATTCTCCTCCCCCAAATTGAATGCCTTCCTTCAGCGGTGAGCCCTGTCTCTTTCTTCCTCTTCAATCCATCTGAAAGTGGAAGTGAGAAGCTCACCCAGTGTTTTCCAGACACTTAGCCAACCATCCCAGCGCTGTTTTTATGACTCAGCCCTCCTGTCCTCTGTCCCTCGGGCAGCCCTGTGCACAGGGCAGGCATTAGCCAAGGAGTCTCAACTTGCTGTTGTGCCAGAGGCCAGGCTCGCTTGGCAAAGGCCTTGAACATTCTCTGGAGCTATCGGCCCTCCCCAGTCCCTGCCCGCCCCCACCTCCGGGGGAAGCCCTGACCTTCCCCCCCAGTGCAGCCTCCCCCTGGCTGTTTACCTGAGTCTCCTGGAGTCCTGCCCCAGGGCCCCACCAAGCCCACCCCACACCCAGCACCTCCCCACAGAGGCCCTCAGAGGACTGGCCCTGCTGGGCAGCCCCGCCTCTGTAAGGTGAGAACCCTCAGGGGCTCAGCAGCCAACCCTGGGGCCCAGCGCCCACCCCCGGGGCTCATTAACCTGTTTCTTCCAAACAAATCCCGCTCTGTTCTAGGTGGAATTCCCATGCCATCTGCTCCCTCCATCTCTTCTGTTTCTTGAAGTCTCCAGAAGCAGGAGTCCTGGAACCAGGCGTCCTGGCCTATCAGTGCTGATACCCCCAGAAGCTGCCTGGGAGCACCCCGAGGGGCAGCCAGCCACAGTTCAGGCTCCCAGGCCCTCCCCAGGCCCCCCAGAGTGGCCTCAGTGACAGGCTGGGTGGCACTGCCCTCCCCTAGGTGACCATGGCCATGGTGGGGGCTGCCATCAGGGGCCACAGAGCCCCAGAGAGCACCAGGTCCACCTGCCCAGCAGCAGCCCCTGGAGGGGCCAGACCCTGAGGCCAGGAGCAGCAGCATCCTGGGGCGGGACCATGGGAAACAGTGCCTATGGCAGCAGGAACAGGAAGAGGCCACCCTCCCTGTGACCAGGGGTCTGCAGAAGCGAGCTCTGAGTGGCTCTGAAGGGCCTCTGGTCCCATCCGTGTGCACGTGAGTCACAAAGAGCCTCAGCAGAGCCTCAGCTTCCTCATCTATAAAACCGGGATGCGTCAGCACCACCCCCAGGGCCCCGGGAGGCGTCAGCAGGAGTGGCCATCACTGTCGGAGCTCCCTGGTTACCAGGACTTGACGGTGGGGATATTTCATAGTGTAATATATCCCAGAACACGAAGCTACACGCCTCAAACACATACAGTTTCATTTCCTTGGTAAAGATGGGGCTGGGGCCTGAGCGGTGGTGCAGGCTTGGAATCCCAGCGGCTCCAGAGGCTGAGACAGGAGGATCGTGAGTTCAAAGCCAGCCTCAGCAAAAAGCAAGGCCCTAAGCAACTCCGTGAGACCCTGTCTCTAAATAAATTACAAAACAGGACTGGGGATGTGGCTCAGTGGTCAAGTGCCCCTGAGTTAAATCCCTGTTAACCTCCCACAGCCCCCAAAAAGATGGGATTGGGGGAGAACATCTAGCCAGAAGCAGAGGGCAGTGCGGGGGGGGACTTGAACTGTGCAGACGCCTCCCCTGGCTGTGAAGCTGGCTGTGTGTCTCCATCTCCTCACCCGAAAGTGGGGAACACCCACCCGCTGTGCTCAGTGCCCCATGCTGCCCTTCATGTTACCACAGGAAGATGTCCAAGTCAGCAGGGAAGACACCCCTGCTGGGCTGTCCGAATTGTCAGATTTAGGTGAGAACTGAGTTGAGAAGCATGAAGTAGAAAACCCCCAAATGCCAACAATTTAAGCACATGTGTGATTATTTTCCTTCGCATAGAGGAGTTCTGGGTATTGGCAGTAGTTCTCTCTGGTGGCTGGTATGACAGCCCCAACCAAGGGACCCAGGTTCCTTCCACCCTTGTGCTCTACCATCTTAGTGTGTACCTTCCACCCACAGGATTACCTCAAGGATTGTGGGAGGCCAACCTTACATGTGACTGAGGTACACTCCCTGGCTGGGTGCTGAGGCTCTCAGTTGCAGAAATGTGGCACTCTTCTTGGGTTTGAGGGTCAGTGTCTCGTGCATGGGTGTGTCTTGCTACAGCCCCAGGGGTGAAGCTACACTCACCTGTTCCTTTGTAATATAACCCCTTGCCCTGTTTAGGGTAGAATCTTCCATGGAAGTGCCTTGTGTGGGTCCCTTCTCTTACTGTGCCCTTGGGTGTGGCCTACCCAGGTGTCAGTCAACCTGCTGACAGTGGACATCATGAAGATAGACTCAGCCCCCTGAAACCTGACCTCTTGCCTCATTTGAATAGCTTCTCCTCAATGAAAGGGGTCAGCACGTGCTCTCTCTCTCTTTCTGCGGACCCTTAAGGTCAGAGGAGCCCTCACAGCGACCCCAAAGAAAAAGGTATTTGTGTCTCTTGTGTGGTTATTTCGTGCAGCCCAGTCAGCCCAGTTCAACTGGAGTGACCCCTCAGCCTTTTAGTCGCGAGAACAGAAAACGCGGCAAAGGATCAATATAGCTGCTACTGCTCCAGCCTTACATTCCTAATAGCCAAAGGCATAAAAGGTGGAAGAGCCAAAGGATATTTAGCTTTTTGAAGGATCCTTTCTAAAGTACTGCCTAATTCTTTCTGCTTGCTTCTCTTTTGCCAGAATATGGTCTCATGTTCTTGCCTATCTGCAAGAGAGGTCGGGAGACCCATTCTTTTAGCTGAGCAGACAGCCACCCTGAATGAAACTGGGGTCTGACAGTAAGGACGAAGGGCAACTAGGATGGTCAACTAGCAGACTCCTCCACATTCCTTCACTTGGTTCAGCTGCCTCGCCCCCATACTCCCCAAAACTTGGGTTTGCCCATGACCTCTGAGGTGGCCTCAGGGCACCACAGGAGAATAAGTGGGTAGCAAGGGTTGAGAAGGAGAAGTGGAGGAGAAGGAGAGGTGGAGCCAGCCTCAGAGGCTCAGATAGCGGAGTGTAAAGGGGATGAAGAGAACATGGAGAGGCCTCATGTTAGGGGAGGAGGAAGACGAGGGCCAGCAAAGGAGCTGGAGAGAAGCAGCGTTGAAAAGAGCATGGGAAGGGAGGGGGGGAGGAAAGTTGAGCTACTGAGGGCAAAACCCTGAGCGGCACCAGCTGTCACCCAGAGGTGCCCAGAGCAGCTGTGGTAGCACTCTGCTCCCAGCACCCAGCTTCCTTACCCTGCCAGTCACTCAGTGCTTCTGACAGCCCTCCTGGATACCAGAGGGGCCGGAAAGCTTGCATGAGCTAAAGTCAGGTGGAGTTCAAATCCCAGATTTAGTGCTTATTCATGTGACTTTGAATAAGTTGCCTCTTCCCTCTGAGGCTCAGCTGCCCCAGCAATAAGTGGGTATAAGAACAGAGCTGCACTGCTTAGAGACCGTGGGGTCACGGGGCTTGGCTCTTCTCTGGTCCCTGATAAGCAGGCACCAAGTGTTACTGACAACCCCAGAGTCACAGACACAGAAGAATGAAACTTTCCAGCCCAAGCTTTTTATTAAAGGGACAAGCACAAGAAGTTCATCAGGGTCTCAGGAACACCCTGGGGGTGCAGATCTTTGTGGTTGTGTGCACACCCCAAGTCAGGAGAGCAGGAAGAAGATGAAGTTTGTCTCTCCTGTGTCCAAAGGGTTAATTCCACAGCCAGGGACAGTCAGAACCAGGAGCTGACCAGGTTCTGGCCTTGACTTATTCCTGCCCACTGCTGCTGGAAAACAAATGCCCTGCAGAAGGACTGGCCATATCCAGTCCTGTGGCACCAGAGTGGGCCAAGAGGTTCTGGGAGGGGTCCCTGATGAACTCTAACTTGGCATCTGTACCCTCTTCTCATTTGCCACAGTCACAGGCATTATGACTCCTTTCGACCCTGTGGCAGCACCTGCACTTGCATACACACCTCCATCCTACAAACTTGGCTGCAAGTCAGTCATAGCCTCAGTTCAGTAAGGCAGCCACTGGGGAGGCTTGCTGTACATGTGCCTGTGACATCACCAGCCACCCACACCCCCCTGTGACTTCAGCACCCGGACATCTTAGCCCAGCAGAGTCATGGCCACTCCCACTGCAAGTGGCAGAGGGCATAAATGACCACCGTGCCCTCAGAAGAGGCCAAAGCCACCAGCAGCCCCCCATGTGCTCCTTCTGAGGCCTTTCTGGGCAACGAGGCTGGCCACAGCCCTGCAGATGATCCGACAGGAGGGTCCCAAAGTCAGGCCCCCCTCCCTGCAGATGTCTCACCAGAGAGCAGCGCTGCAGAGGCCACTGAACTCCAAGATGTAGATCAGGCCACCTCTGAGGCCAAGCCAACCTCTGGGGACCAAGACAAGAATGAAGTTGCTCCTGGCAGCAGCCAGAAGCCTGCAGAGATCACACCTCTGGTGCCCCAGGACCCAGGTGCCCAGCCAGTGTTGGTGGGCAGTCAGAACCTGCTACCGGTCAGGCTAGCTGGGGATAAACTGATCCCTCAGGATGGCGTGGGCCTGCTCCGTGACTCCCAGGCTCAGAAGGGAACACCACCGCAGGCGAGGGACCCCAAGAAGTAGCTGATCTTTGCTTTACCTGTAGTAGAAGTCGCGCCCTTTGTGGGTGCTGCTGACCCAGCCACTGCAGGCGCCGGTGGTCAGCTTGACCCTCCGCCCACTGGCGTCACCCAGGCTGCTGAAGAGAAAACCAAGGGGTCCCAGATGGTGACAGGGGACGACCTGGTGGACGGTTCCCCAGAACACTGGGTTCAGTCCTTCCCTCCCTTCGCAGCCTGCAATGCCCCGCCCTCAGCCTTGCCCAGCCCCCACCGGGAGGCCCCGGGGAGGAGGCCGCTGGACTCCGACCTGTACATGGCGGATGAGGACAACGGCTACATGCGCTCCATGACCAGCCTGCTGGGCGGGGGCGAGGGCTCCATCGGCTCCCTGGCCAACATCCTGGTGTGGTCCGAGCCCATGGGCATGACCATGGCCATGGCCTTCCTGACCTCCAGCCACGGCTCCCCGACGGAACTGCTGCCCAACACCGGATCCAACCTGCACTCGGTCTCCAGCATCCTGGGGAACGCCAGCTCGGCCTTCTCCTCCGGGCTGGCCACAGGGACCAGCTCGGCCCTGCGCTCGGTCACCCAGGTGCTGGAGACCGTGGAGCGGAGAACTACTAGGGAGAGCATCCGCTCGGCCGTGCGCTTCCTGACCAGTCACCTCGCCCCGCGCCGGTTCCATGCCAGCCCCAGCTGAGACTAGATCCCACACGGAAGCCCCAAGGACTTGCCCAGCAGCTCTGGAGACCCTGGATTATCACCCCGGTTCCTGCCCACCCCCACCCGGGGTGGCTCCCCAGCAGATCAATAAATCACCACCAGCGTTTATTTTCTAAGCGCCAGCCTCGCCGTCCCTTGTCCGAGCAGTGGGCAGAGTGGAAGTCAGGAGCGCCTGCCTGGCATGCAGAGGTCCTGGGGTCCACCCCAGCACCAGGTGGGGGAGGACAAGAGGGGCTCCGGGTGTCTTGCAAACAGAATGTCCTCAGGTTGTCCCATTCAGGGCCGAGGGACAAATGGAGTGGCTCTGAGAGGCCCCCGGAGGGAGGTGGAGGGTGCTGAGTCACCAGTGCGGATTCAGACCCCTGGGCTTCCGGGCCTCCCTCTCCTGAGCTGTAATGGAGACAGTAAGCCCCCACCCCGAGATACTAGAAGGCCTCAGCAACAGAGAGCCCTTACTAAGCTCACACCTTACAGCTGTCATCATTATTTGCCAAGTGGGCAGGTGATAGGGTGGGACAGGGTCCAGGCAGGGTGACAAGCTGTCCTTGTGTGCTTGGCTTCAGACTAAGGGGATTTCTGGCATGGGGGGCTTTCAGTTTTGAAGCTGGCAAGCCAGGATAGCTGCCCCCTTAGGTGCAGGTCTCTTTCCTTGGAGTGTGCTCTGGTCTGCATCTGAGAAGCTTTGGCAAGGAGGAGGAGGAGTGCAGGCCTGGGGGCCCAGCTAATGCTCAGAAAGTGGGCCTCCGTCCAGCTGCACCCAGTGCTGCTTCCAGAGGTGAGAGGTGGTGCATAAACTCCAGCAGGATATTGGCCTGACCTGTCACATCCTCCTGCCACAGCCTGGACTGCTGTTCTTCCCAGCAGTCTCCCGATAAGGGCCCTGGGGGGAAGTCAGCCCACTGATGCATTTGTTGGACTTACATAGTGTTTCTCAAAGTGCAAACTAATGAATTAATTGCTAGAGTTTTAAAAAGGAGATTTTACATAAAAATATGGATTTCTGCCTCTTTGGAAAAATCTAGGGCCCTCTGTTTTGGTTTGGATGTGAGATGTCCCCCAAAAGCTCATATGTGAACAATGCAAGGTTTAAAGGAGAAATGATTGGGTTATGAAAGTCTTAACCAATCAACAAATCAATCATTGAATTAATCCCTGATAGGATTAACTGGGGGAAACTGAAGGAGGGTAGGATGTAGCTGGAGGAGGTGGGCATTGGGGGCATGGCACCCTCCTGCCACGATGTTCTGCCTTACCTCAAGTCTCGAGGGATGGAGTCAGCTATCTATGGACTGAGACCTCTGAATTCATTAGCCAACTTTTCCTTCCCCACAATTGTTCTTGTCAGGTTACAGTCACAGCAACCAAAAAAAAGTTGACTAAAACACCCCCATTTCTTCAGGATCCCAGGCAGCTAAACTACCTAAACCACCACTTTAGGGAGAGTGGTGGTCACTGTCACCACAGCCCACCTGGCCTTGGAGTGACAGATGTCTCAGCCTGACCCCCGGGAGCATGTGTAGGCCACACCTGTTTTGCAGATGGCTCATGAGAGGAAGTCTGACTCTTAAGCCCAAAAGGGATGTAAAGACAGACTAGACATGTGTACCCCTAGTCCCCAGGGGCTGCCACCTTCTTGAGGTGCAGCATGAACTGTCCCCAGTTCCCATGTCATGAAAGCAAAGAATTCAGAGGAGTGAGGTTGTCAACTTAGATCCCAGTAATGGGGGGGGGGTCCTCTTAGAGAAGCAACTGAGTCAGACCTTAAGAGCAAGGGGAGAGGGTACTCCCCAGACAGACATGGTAAGAACAAGGCACCCCCAAAATATGCTCATCCAAGCTTTCAACAAATGGTATTGAACACCCACTGTGGACCAGGCCCTGCTATACCCCCAAAGGTGACCTGAGCTTTGCAAGGGACAGAACAAACTCAAACCAGCATAAGGAAAGGATTGGTGGCTGGCACTGCTGCCGGTGTGGGCGAGGCGGGCTCCCGGCTCAGCGGGTTCTCTGGGCTGTCTTTCCAGCTGCCCCACTGCTGGCTCTCTCCATTCTCAGCTCCACCTTCTGGAGAAGTGGAACCGTCCACTGGCCTTGGCAGGTGAGTCCCAGGGAAGCACACTGGTTCAGTACCCATGTCCTGCCCTGGACAGGTTATGCAGGCCACAGGACTGAAGTACCAGTCACCCACCAGTCACCTGGCTCAGGTCAAAGCCTAGAAATGGAGGTTCATCTCAGGAGGGGGCAGCTGGAGCCAGCCGGTGAGTGATGAGGAAGGGGCGTGCCCTTTGGGTCCAGGCCACCTTGAATGCTGGGCACCCTGCCTGCCAGCTGTGTTTCCTTCTCCTCTCCTGCCTCAGTTTCTTCACCTGTAAACAGATGGTGACAGTGTTGTCAGGGGTTGGACTGCCGTGAGGACTGCAGGGCTTCATGAGTCAGTGCCTAGGACAGTGCCGGCAAGTGGCGGAGTGTACACGACATCATGCTGACCACTGGTGCAGAGCCCGACATGGAATCAGGTGCCCAGAACGTGGCTCTACCATGAGGAGTGGAGGTGGGGGAGGGGCAGCTATGTGCGGGCTCTCACTGAGGTGGGCCTTCACTGTTAGAGGAGGACCAAGGCCTGGAGCACAGCAGCTCAGTGATGGTGGCTGGCAGCAGGGGTGACAGGGCCAGGGGTCCACTGTGGAGAGATGGCCCAGGCCCAGAAAAGTCAAGGCTGGCAGTGAGGGGTGTAAAAGGTGACAGAGCAAAGGGAAAGGAGACATCGCAGGTGACCAGTTGGGTTGAGGGTCAGGAAAACGACAGTCACGATTCCCTGGTGGCCTGAGCCTTGCAGTCACGGGATGACACGCGGGTCACTGCCAGGTGTGGAACACCAGGAGAAGGGCCAGTGGAAGCCGGGGGACAGGCCGGATGGCACTGAGGTGAATCTGGCCCATGGACCACCTGTGGCTGTTGTTTTTGTTTGTGTGGGTCCTGAGGATTGAGCCCAGGGGTGAATCACCCCTGAGCCACATCGCCAGCCCCATTTTTTAAATTTTATTTGAGTTGGAGTCTCTCTAAGTTGCCCAGGCTGCCCAGGAACTTGTGAGCTTCCTACCTCAGCATCCCAAGTGCCTGAGGGGACAGGTGAGCACGGCCACACGGGCATCTGTTGGTCCTTGATATGAAAATCAAGAAGCCAGCCCACCTTTCCATCTTCACTGGCTGGTGTTGACTCTTGGAGGTCCTGGCTACTCAGTAAGGACACAGCCTGTGACCAGCACAGGGGCAAGTTGGGGCAGGAACCCCCCCACCATTGACTGACTTAGGTGCTGCCCTGCAGGCCAGCCACCCGCTGTCAGCTCTGGGCTCTCCCTGCCTCCTCCTCCTGCTCTTGCTATGGGGTAAACAGTTGTGCTGGCAAACCCCAGGAAGCACATGATCCCCAGGGGTGGGCCCCAGGCAGCACATGCTCCCCAGGGGTGGGCCCCAGGCATCCAGGTGCCAGACACCCTGGAGAACTCAGGCTGCACACTCAGGGCTGCAGGCTCCAACGTGGAGAGAACCTGATGCCCCGAGCCCAGTATAAGTTGGCCCAGGGATAAATGAGAATGAACAGGAAACCCCAAGACAGGAGCTTGGGGACAAGCTCCACCTACAGGCAAGAGAAGAGGAGGCGGTTCAAAAAAACACAGGAGCAGTGGGCAAGGGGGAGTGATCCCGCCCATCATGGGACAGGCATGCAGCAGCGTGGGGCACTGGCTCCGGGATTATTTGGAGCTGAGGGCAAATGAGGAAAAGTACATTGGGGACAGCTTTCTACTCTCCCCTTCTCTGAAGAGAAGGTATAAATTTCCCTGTGACAGTTCCTCCTTTTCCAAACCAGGAAGAGGAGAGCAACCTCTCATTATAGACAGATGGTTGAGAGGAATCTACACAAACAAGCCTAACAGTGGCCCCTCTACCGTGCCCCCACATATTTACCTTCCCACAATTTACCATGCCCCCAAAAGCCCAGAAACGCCTTTCCTTTGTCTTATCAACTCTCCACAAATTTATCGTCCTTTGTTAGAATGGTATAAAAGCCATCAAACCTTGCCACTGCTTTGGGAAATTTCTTTCTATGAAGCCCCCCACACCATGGGAAACTTTTAGTATCTAATAAAATAACATACAAACGTTTTAACATACAAAATAAAGTCTGCTGTCCATCTGTCTTTTGTCAGTTTAATTTACAGCCCCAGTAATAACCTAAGAGGATGAAGGACTTTTTTTGAACCCCCAAAGCCTCCCTGTGGTTCATGATATTAGATGCATGAACACTGAATAAGGGGGCACATGGCTGGGGAGAGGCAGTTAACAGAGACAGAAGAAAGGGACAGTGGTAACAGTGGTGACGATAACGGGGTGGCCCTGGGAAGGTGTGGAGAACTGGAGGCAGGACAGAGTTAAAACTCAGCCCTGCGAGGCCAGCCAGCTTCTCAGGAAGCCAGGGAGCTTCTCATTTACATGTTAGGTGTGACACCTGACAACAGGAAGTGTTTCTCTGGGATGGACTTTTGGATTATGTTCTGCCAGGAAAGACTGGCAAGTAAACAGAAGAACTGCTGAAATGGCCATTTAGGCTGGGCCAAGAGTCAACAGGACAGGCCCAGTATCCTACCATCTGACCAGCAGGAGCTTGGCTAGGGAAGTCATCCGCAAGTCCGAGCAGTGGTCAAAAGGGACGCCAGCCCAGGTTTGGTGGACGATATGTTTGGCCCATTCCTCCCCCTTCAGTAAAGGACTTGTTCCCGCAGGTGCCAGAGCACTGGAAGTGGACAACCTGCAGCAGCAGCCCCTTCAGAGAGCTACCGTGATGTCCCTGAGGCTGGCTGGGGCTGGCATCGCAGCCTCGACTTCTCCCTCTGTCCGCTTGGCTTCTTCTCTCCTCACTGGGCATGATCCCAAAGAAACATCCTGGACACTAAACCCTGACTCAGAGCCCACACCCTG